TGGTATACATCTCGTCTCAAAAGGCCACGGACATTGAGTATCGTTCCCTTGTAAGCACAATAAATGACCTTATATCCCAACTAGTGACAAAGTACATACATAAATTTAGAGCTAACTCTACAGACAAGGAACAGTTAATACATAGCCAACCGTTACTTTAAGAACAAGATCACCCGAAATTGTATAATATGTATGACATGACGGAAATGGAAGGTGACCAGTATGATAAAAAAGCTTTGAAGCAATTACACAAACATTTTATAATAACCCCAGTGGATAAGGCTAGTTCTAAATTTAGTTTTACCTGCAAAAAATTCTATATAAAAATGATGAGGAAAGAAATGGAACAAGAATAATGAAGGTAGCACCTATGAAAACACTAACCTTACAACTGAAGATATCCGAATGAAGCATGTAAGAATACTCAACAGTCTGAATATTGAACCTGAAGAAAGATTCTTTGTACCTAGAATTTATGGTATACCAAAGATGCATAAAAATCCAATCAAATTTAGATACATAACAGGAGCAAGAAGAAGTACACTGAAACCTCTTACAAATATTTTGCAGCTCATACATGCACATATAAGAAAACATTTTGCTAATCATCGTAAGGTTATAAGACAGAGAACACAAATAAATTACTTCTGGGCTGTGGAAAATAGTACCCAGATAATAAGGGAAAGGGACTTATCAACAGCTAAGGGAAACTTGAACACTTATTCTGCGGATTTCTCAAGCCTCTTTACTAGTCTACCACATAAAGTGGTAAAGTCTAATCTCAAAAAACTTTTAACCCTATGTATGAGAGGCTTTACGTATACCAAAGTATGCAATAGAAACGTATCTTATGCCAATACGGTTACACTACATGGAAAGCATTTTCAACTGGAGGATATACTCTATATCGATGACTCCCTGCTAGACTGCAGTTACCTGAGTTTTGGAGGAGTCGTTAACCAACAAATTAAAGGTATACCACATGGTCCTTTTTGTAGCCCACAAATGGCCGACCTAACATTGAAATATATGGAATATGAATTTATGAAAAGACTAGCAATTACATCAAACAATTTGTGATTTTCTTTCAAGTATACTTATAGATATATTGATGATATACTGCATGTATCTAGAAATGAACAGGAATTTGAAAGAGTTAACAAAGGTATATATCCACTTGAGATAGAAAAGACCAACAATAATTGTAAAATTACTAACTTCTTAGATCTACATACAAACACTTCTGACAATTTAGTAAAATTTAGTCTTTATAATAAAACGGACAACTATAATTTCATAGTTATTAGATATCCTCATTGGAACTCCAACATACCTAGGTACATACTAATCAATACATTATCATCTGAGATGCTTAGAATTTACAGAAACTGCTCTAGCTACCTGGACTTCAAAGATAGAATAATTGAGTTAGGTAGAACATCTTTTGATAATGGATGGGACTGTGGGTACTTTATGAACATACTATGTCGGGCTATGATAGATAGACCTTTCATTTTACGCAAATACGGGTTTGTAGCAGCGATACCTCTTCCTCTTATGCACGAGCTACGCGCAGTGTGGACTAATGCTAACGCGTCAGGATGACACTGTAAGATAAATTCAAATTCGACCTCATACACATCACCACATTTGTCTCAAGTCTCATTTGCCCGAGCATGCCTGTTTCCTTTTATATTGTGGTTTTTCAACTTCTACTTATAATATTTGGTTGTCCCGAAAGTTTCGTCCGTTTTTTCAACCTATCATAAAAACGCGTGGAACGAGGATAGGGAAACGCTCTAAGCATTATCCGACGCATCTTTTCCTTCTCTTTCTAACTGTCATTCTTCCATGCCGATTAAGCTTTTGTTCACTGAGATAAACGCCGAAATTTCGAACCCATGGTTTTTACTTAGTCCAAGTTTGGCAATTTTTCACAATCTTTATTTTTGACTTTCGGAAAAGCTTTGGCAACAGTTAGATAGAGCAAACAAAGGGCAATATATTGCAATTTTGCGGCATCTTTAGCCAGCCTTGAAAATTTTTTAGAATTATTTTTCTGATGCTATCAAATTCCACTTTTGGTGATGCCAAAAGCCAGAGATCATTAGACGGCGCAGAACTAAGGTGTTATTCGATGCAGCTTTTCCTCCTCTTTCCAATGAGTGTATTTTCTCTCCAATTTGCGGGGTCTTTGTCGATAAAATTTTCATAATTCTTGAATTTGACCCCACCCCAGCGTGTACACGTAAAATGCAAAATCTTATATTTCGAGGCGGTAAACGCTCATTTGCTTTGTAAAAATAGTGAATTATCGTAATCGGTTTTTGAAAGCTTCAAAACCCGATAATTTGTTAGTGTTCGAGGCGTTTCTGTATTTTAGAACTTCGCAAAAGTGAAGACTTTTGAAAATTATCTTAAAAAATATTAAAAAGCCAGCTAGATATGCCAAATAATTGCATTGCATTGCCCTTTGCTTACTCTATCTGAAGGCTATCAAAGATCTTCCAAAAGTTGAAAATGAAGATTGTGAAAAATTGTCAAACTTGGACATAGTAAAAACCATGGGTTCGAAATTTCGGCGTTTATCTCAGTAAGCAAAAGAGTAATTGGCATGTGGGCTTGACATTTAGAAAGAGGAGGAAAAGATGCGTCGGGAGTGCTTGAAGCGTTTCCCTATCTTTGTTCCACGTATCTTTATGATAGGTTGGAAAAACGGACAAAACTTTCGGGACAACCTAATATTTTTTTGACTTTAGCCATCATAGGTAATCAAAAATCAATAAAAAGTATTACTGATTTTTACGTCTTTTGAAGCTTTCTTGTGAACTACTGATGAGGGCCGACAAGAAAGCTACACATCCGGTATAGTTCTAAGGCCCGAAACCGGTTGTGTGTAAACGCATATACATATAATTCCAAGTTTGTATCTTGTCTTCTAGCTCAAGTTCCTTTGTTTTGTTCTTAGACAGTCTTGAGCCATCAGTGGTTACATATTGCCCCAGAATGTATGCTTAACAAGCCGAAAACTATAATATATCATTGACTAAATGAGTCGCTGATTATGATTATGAAAGTCATTTTACCGTTAGGCTTTTCTCATGAGTTATGCCAAATAAATCGCAACATCATTTAACAGTGTGGTTAAACGCTATTAGAGTTAGAACGCTTACAAAGCGAAAAAATTGTCTAATCAAACGAGCATATCCGAAAAGGCTTTCAAACAACTTTCCAGATTTTTTCGGCCTTTTTTTCTTAACCGGCCTATTCCACAATGGCGCTGTATGCTGGAAGTTTTTTCCGTTATCCTGCAGTAATCGAGAGAGATAAATGATCCCCTTCATGCTGGATATTTAAGTTGAAGCCTGAACGGTAGTTTGAAGCTATGCGAAAGGCTTTGTGAGAGGAGAGTTATTAATTATCAAAAATGTGCACTTACTTTATCTTACTTTTGGGACATCCTGTACAGTGATAATAGAGTCCGAAGCCTGCGGATCTTGAAGATTTTGTACGGTTGATGCAAATTAAAAAATTCTCGACAACAGAAAAAGTATCGAAAGTTTCTACAGCGACCCCAAGGTGGAAATGTGCTCCCGGATGGTATGCGCTACAAGGTTTGGAGAAGACGCGGAACAGCTTGAAGAAAGCGCCATGGTGAGGCCGCTGCGCAAAAGGCCGGACAGGGATACTTTCAAAAAATATCAAAGGCATATGCTACCGAAGCAGGCAACAACGATCAAATTTTGAGAGATGTTGGCAACACTAAAGCAGCTATTTGACAGATCTCAAGATTTACAATAAAATACCAGTGGTGTTTGGCGCTAGAAATGCAGGTTTCGAGAATACTCTGTGCATGCCAGAAGAGTGAACGAATTATACGAGAAAGCGGAGTTCCATGAATTAGGCAGCGATGGAGCCACATGAATGTTATGGGTGGTTGGCCCAAAGAGCTAATCTGGAATCACGCAGCAACTCTTAACCGTTTTGGACACGGAGTACAAGGCTGGACGAAAGATGCCGCCACAAGAGTCGTACTTGAAATGCGAAAACTCCAAACTCAAGAAGGATAGTGAGACTGCAGAAAGCTTGCAAAAGCGTCGAAGCAACGAGCAGGAAGAACCCGAGAGGGTGGGATGTGCTGGAAATGCAGTGTTGCTTACCTTGCTAAGAAATGCAAAAGCTACGGTTGCTGCACATCCCTAACAATGTAATTGTAGCGGCATGCGCGCTTTAGCTTGCACTGTTTGGAATCCGCAGGTGAGCGAAGCGTTCCCTTAGGGCTTAGGTCCCTCAACTTCTTGAAGGCAGCGTCCGGGCAATATTTCGTACAAAATTTTCTTCGCTCACCTGGGCTTATCCTTCCCGCTGATTGCGAAAATGCGGCTTACAGAGTACGAAAATGTTGAAAACGGGCTATTTTAGAAGCCCCGATTTTGATAGACGCCTGCCACCGAGTTTAAGACGCAGAGTCGTGGTAGGCTTCTACGTCTTGACCGTGTGCGATACACTACCGACTTATCCCACAATATGCGGGGCCCTCGTCGCGTAGCTCTCTCAACTTTCGGAGCATTTTTTCGCTTCCGGTCCCACAAAATGTGCCTGCGATTGGGCTGGTGGGTATGTCGGGGCGGCTACTCTTGTGCGAGTGAAACCTCAAAACCCCCGATCTAGTTCGAACCCCGCCTTTAAGCGAATTTCTTGTGGTCCAACGTATGCCGCATAAGTGAAGATGTGCCTGCGGCGGTCCACTTCTATTTGGTTGAGGTTCCACATACCCCAAGTTTGCCCGGGCACTATATAAGCGGATGATTCCAGTATCCATCGTACACAGCGGGTAATATAAGTGAGACTATGTCGCCTATAGGATTATCCTCATTTGCCACTGACTTGTGCAATATTAAGGTGCCAGACTCAACAGAACTCAATGTGGAGTTTTGCGGTTACCTATACGATCACCATTGGGCCATGACAGAAAGCGCAAGGAACTTTTTATTCAATGTGTCCATAATATATAGCAATATGAATTTACAAGACAATTTTTACACGCTAAACAACGACAATATGACCCGACAAATTGAAAAGCGGATGTGAGTTGGATATAATCACAGTGAACGTAATGATGGACAGTTAAGCTTTCGGTGTGCTGCACAATAAATACCCGACGTAGTATGCCGAAGGATATGTAATACGTAATCGTAATACAATGAGTGGATATGAGCTTCTAGTGCTTGAGGCTAATAATGCTTTTCATTGTAGTTTGAGAGAGGAAGCATATGTGCTTAAAGCTCATACGGTGTCGATAAACAAAACCAAAACAATGTCCTGACGTTGATATGGCATCTTTTGAAAAGACACTTTGACAAAAAAAAAACTATGAGGGCTAGGCCCATCCAGAAAAGAAAACCATAGCAAGCATAGAATAACAACTTCAAGCTAAGTATTATTTCGAAACAATCAAATCAATTCATGTCTAAGATTGCTCTAAACTTCAAGCTAGGTTTTGATTGGGAATGGCCGTTTCGGCCATGATCGTATTTTCAAGAGCCTCTCAATTTCATCTTCATACTTCTTCAATCGATCTACGGTTGGTGATATTGTAAGATATATGAACTCGTCCACGGTATTTGGAAAAAACAACATTGAAAGCTCTCTTCTGAAGCAAAGCCTATATAAGATGAGCGTAAAACAAACGGTACAAAAATACCTCAGTGCTTGTTCTATTGACTTTATTTGCATTTGTAGCATTTGCACAAGGTACTTGATGTCTTTGAGATACCTAAGCATTTCATACTTCACATTATTAGACATTCAACATGATACAGTCATTGTATTGTGAGTTAATTTTGTCCATAAATCAACTAAAAATCACAAATGCTTACCAGTTCTGAGTAAAATTGTACCGCATACTGTATGGCGACAGCCAACCTTTGATTGAATGGCTTTTGTCAAGTTCTGACTCTATATACTTGATCGTACTTCTAGCAGATCCTTGGAACAAGTAATACACTTGAAACCCTGTAAAATTGAATTCAAGTTGAGATAAACTTTTTTTTGGAATGAAATAATACCTGTAAAGTTGCAGCTCTGGCTGATCGGATCTAAACCGCCCACGTGGAACTGGTTACAGCCAAGAATTTGAGCTGCTCTATTCCTTGCCAAATGTTGATCCTATGCATTACCATGATTACGTGAAAATGCATCAAAGAAAACAATCTTACTTTCCTGCCCAACAATGCGACTTGCACATTCAACACCATTGATGGAGTTCCTACCGGTAAGGTCTCACATATTGCAGCCATGTGGTCGTATCTACAAAGTGACACTTTTATGCACTGATTGTTACGGCAAGCTAGGCACAACTGTAATAGAATATGACACTGCTTTAGAAGATATCATCAACTGGGTTTGAGCTATTGGTAAGCAAGATGGTCGTTTATTATGATAAGCTGGGTAATTATATCCTTTTAAAGGCAGCGGCTCGGCAAAACCAAACATCTCGAAATTTTGTTATGGAAAGTTGCTTGCGTCCCAAATATCAACACAGAGCAGGTCCGTGCGCACTACATGCTGCCGCTGCCTGCCACTGCCTGCTTGCCTCCAATGCTATAGAGTTGTTTCATACTCGCTGCAGCAACGGCAGTCAATCGATCGATATCTTTTACCCGCCTCGATATGACTGCAGTAGCTGGGGTAGGGGAACGAAAGCCGTCAGATTCGGTCGCGTGCGTGGACTGCTGGTCCTGGAACGACATGCAACAACGTTGCGAAAGGACCAGTTAGCCGCGAAAGGCGGCTCAAACTGGCGGCTTTCGTTCCCCTACCCCAGTAGCTGCTGCGACCGCAGTATGAAACAACCCATAAACACGAGGGTCCCGCAATGACTCTACGTCTCTAACCATGGCGGGGAGTGGTCCACTCGTCCATAATCGAAATTAGAACTTTTGGAAAATGCTGTTTTTGACATTTTTGTGCTCACCAAAGTATATTTTCGAAATCAGCGCGTGAATTACCCCAGGTTAGCGAAAAAACTTCAGGTCGAGGATTTGCCGAACCACTACCTTCAAGTCTGCTCAATCAATGGCAAAGGCTGGATGAAACTTTGACCGAGAACGCAGTGTAGTTGCATACCACCCCCCTCCCCGCTATAGCTGTAGGCGCTCACATAGGCATGGTGACATGGACTTCTGCGTGCTGTTCCAAAAATGAATGAATGACAGCGCAGATGACAATTCCTGTGCGCCTCTGCAAGCGCTGGCAGCACTTTGAGCCAACGTTGCTGCGCCACTATAATGACCCAACCCTGAAAGTTTGGGCAAACTCTACACTCAATCAAATCATCCACTTTAAGGCTTCAAAATCCTCGTACACTACGATTGCTTGCAAATTCAAAGGTAAATACCAAACGCTTGGCGGTGGCGAGCCGTAATCTGATAAATTTCGTCGCGGATTTGCTTTATTGCTATATATTGCAAGCTTGTCTCTATATTATGGCATTTAGCAGTACAAAACGCTTTTCCTGCCGCATTGCTTTCAAAATTGTAGAACTTTTGTGCTAGGATCCAAGAAAGAAAAGGGAGAAGTTCTGTACCTTGGGTCCCAATTATGTACTATGGCAACGAGAACGATGTCGAGTTGCTTATGGCGCTTCCCGGGGCGATATTTGCCAACCTCTCACACGCTGTTCGCGCCATTATCAATGAGTGCCCGGATAGACGAGAGCGCCATCCCGTGATCTATGAAAGTTTGGGGCACGTGGCTTAAACTGTCAGCAGAGCCCGATGTCGGACACGATCGGGCACCTGCCGTGCCGGACATGCCCAAAATTCTCAGATCGGACCATATCTTCAAACACATAGGGTCCGATCACCAGCTTGACTTCGTATATCGTCAGTGCCAGTGCCCGCGCCTATAGGGCTGTAACTTGTGCAGGAGTCCTTTCCCATATGGGAGATTGCTAAGTACCGCCCCTGGACTGGACAAAAACGACACGTCTGGACGGCACGCTATGGAGTCTGCCTTATGCTCTGTACCTAAACGTCAGGAATCTCCATAAACTCGCCTCGTACGCTCTCATCGACGCTGCAGAGCACATCAAGTACCACATCTCTGTAGGAAACGAATACCAAAAAAAGAACGTGAGACAGTTGGATGACCTTCGCCACTTATGGTGAGAAACTCATCTCGAAAGTTAAAGAAGTGAGCTTTGTCCACCCATCTATCGTCTATCTTGTCGATTAGCATAAGACCCTGTCACCTCGACTAGCCATCCTATGACTACGACCTCCACGTCAGAAGACCATCAGCATCATCAACTGCTACTCGCAAACATCAGCAGCTGACGGTTTAGAACTGCTTACTGCGAAGAGTGGAAGAGGTCGTCCGCAACGAGAAAATTCCTTTTACAAGTTTATTGTGGGCGACTTCAACGCGAAGATCGGGATGCCACTAGAAGAGGAATATAGGATCGGGAAATTTGGGTATGGGCTCCGGAACGAAAACGGCAACCGTCTTGTTGGGCTTCTTTCGCCGCACGACTTTTCCATAGAAATGCCATCTTTATGAAAAAAGAACATCGCCGGTGGACTTGGAAACGGCCCAACGGAACGACTCATGCGGAGATCTACCACATTCTCACCAATCAAGGTGGAGCTTGCTTGATGTCCCAGTAGTTCCATCCTTCTGCAGTGGCTCCGATCACCGCCTCCTTCGAGCGAAGATACGATTCAGTCGAAAGCTGGAAAAGAAAGTCTGTCACAGTGCCACAAGAAGGAAGGAAGACGTATGACGGTAGTAGGCTGGAGATCTCATGTCTAATCGTGACTGGCCCATCGACAAGAACCCAAAGTACGACTACGACCGGCTTCTGAAAGGATTGTGACTTTTGAGAAGAACTTAGAACGCATTTCGAAGTCGAAATTGTTCGAAAGAAGAAGATTTCTGAGACATGATCCGTGTGCAGCCCACGAGCGACTGACGGCCAAAGCCAGTTGCAGAACAGCTTTGCAGGAGAATCTCAGGAACTATAGGCAAGCCAAGATACGAGTGTACTCGAAGGAAGACGCAGCCCCAGAAGTGCCGCATGGACTACAGTGGCACGTATTACGGGCCTTTAACTTCTTCCTGACACAAGGTGTTGTCCTCTTCTAAAGACTAATGGAAGGATCTTCAAAACTACGCCCAATAGCCTGCAGAGTGTGGTGTACGAAATTTTTGCGAAAGTTATTCTCGTTCGGATATTTAGGACACTGAGCGAAGGTCAGCCCCAGGAACAAGCTGTATTTCGCAAGATTGATGATTCAGGGTTCATCTGCGTGGACGCATGCAGAGGGTTCCGGGGGTCATAGAAGTCTGCCGGAAGTACTGACTTCCTCTCTCTTAGCCTTCTCAACTACGAAAAAGCTTTCGAAAACATCGAACAATCAAGGAGTAGACCAGATGAAGACATGAGCTGAAAATTCACAGGGCTCAATTGTTTACCACATGAGTGCTTTAATCAGTCTACTCTGACAATTCAAGGCCAGCCGGATAGAGCACATTTGGGCCCAGAGAGAGGGAGTATAAACTTAATCAGACCGGGTCCTAACTGCGCAATATCCCCCGCTACCCGTACCTATGGCTAGAGGGGCCAAAATGTGCAAAAATTCTCCGAGGAGGGGAAGAGGGAGGGGGGGGGGGGAGGGGAAACATGCGGCAGGCAAAAGGCAAGCGGTGTAAAATATCTCCTCTTTATTTAACCTGAAACCATCTGCCTATATGTTTAATCCACTTGAAATCTGAAGCAGGATCTGAGAGCAACTACTTCAAATTCCAATTGGCCATCACATACAGACATATATATATGTAATTTGCAGTGGCGTACCCAGGATTTCCGCTCGGGGGGGGGGGCGACAAAAATTTTTTTCGAATCAAGGTGCGTGGCGTTAGCCACGCACTCCGAAAAAATTTTAGGAGTGCTTCTGAAAATTTTTGCGGGTCCCCAATCCCGAAAATCCTGAAAAAGGGGGCGTGGCGTCAGCCACGCCCCCGAAAAAAATTTTTTTACAAGGTTAATTTGAATTTTTAAAAATTTTTAAAAATTATTTTAATTATTTACAAAAATAAACAAGTCACTTGCACATTTTTATAACCCATATAACTAATTTTCAAAAATTTGGCGACCCATTCTCGGGGGGGGGCGCCCCCCCGCTCCCCCCCTCGGTACGCCACTGGTATTTGGTGTAATTTCCTCGTGCTTAAAATTACAATACAATAAATGAAAAATGGCAATTTCTTCGCTCCTAGTAATGCAAATTTTCTCTAGCTAAAATATCGTATATTACAAGCCTTCGGAAGCATGGATGTGAAATTACGCCTAGTATGTGCTTTGGTTTTCAAGTAAAATCACTACTAGCATCATGAACCTGCAAGCTATGGACATTATTTTTGCACCAACCCAATGTAATGGAAAAATTCTGTCTCACCTTTGCCATCCCGCCAAAATTATGCCGTGGAACTTCTCGAATTTACCTTCGTAAGTCTAAAAACAGAATATCATATCCGAAACTGCATTGGGAGGTTTATTCTTACCCTTTTCGCTTCAATCCAATCATTATTATTCGTTTCGTAATGTAATATATCGATATACTTAGCAGAAGGGAAGTTCGCCCCTTTGTAAGCAGAAGACGCCCACACAATCGGAAAATTATCAGCCAGGGCAGAAAAGGCTTGTTCTAAAAAATATGTATAGACAACTTATTGCAAGCATAGACTGAACGCCGTAGCATGTAAGATAGTTCGCGCGCGGGAGAGACAGCAGACGATAAGAAACGAGAGGGCGCTCAATCAACGAGACGCCAAGTCCGCGGTGGCGTCCTGTCTCTGCGTGCGATGAATCGTTTATATGTTTTGATGCGCCTTTCTGCCTACTTTCAAGATACTGTACCTGGCATTGTGACAATCCCTTCAGAATAGTCCCAAATGACTGGCTCAATGATTCGTCCGAGTCCCAAAGAACCAATAAGGCGTAGGTCAAACTCCTTCAGCATATCGTGCCAAGCGAGAACCCTGAAATAATTCACGAGGAAAATGCATCCTCATCCCCTCCCCTACTCGCTATCAAGAATATATTTGCTTACGTTGCTCCATCCGTTTGGCTTCTTACGTACTCCGCGATGTCTTTCAAATGGGTCAGTGCCAGAAGTTGTTTATCAGCTCCCTTTCCTTTAGACATGATCCAATTACGTGATTTTTCACAGACTCCAAACTAAAAAGTAGATACAGTAAAGAGCAAAGAAATCAAGGTTAAGCATGTCTCCCCCTCTCATCCCCCCTCCTGAGAATGAAATAATTCCTTTCCCCTAAATTTTCAAACCTCATAAAAATTCAAGTAGATTCCTTTCTTGTTGTTGACAAATAGAGTAGGAATGTTACCTCGAGCAGGCAACTGCCACAAACCACGTACCTCTCTCAAATTACTATCTCTACCAGTCATCCGTTTATGGGAAGCCTACTGCCAAAATAGTCCACGCTATTTGGCATTTAACAATCGAAATATTTTGAAAGCAACTGATTGTTATTTCCTCCGACATCAAAATACGTAGTAAAAAACTAATAAACACTTAGTTCACTTTTTTTAAGTTTGGCTAATTTCGGCATTTCTTAATCGAAAGTCCCTGTCATTCCCTAGCTCTTTCACGCCAAACACCCACAATTGCCACTGTTGAGACTAATTTTCAAGGATTTCCAAACCTCGAATGCCTCGTCCGCTCCGATATGGAAATATTTGATGCCGAACTCCTTGTGGACATCTATCACTTGCTTTAGAGCCTCCTTGACTATAGCAACACCATCTTGGTCACCCAAACACAGTACCTAAAAAAGATTGGTCAATAGAATACTGCAAAATAAGTAATATAAGTAAATTACTTGTGGATAGGCATCATTCTCCCTGTACTTTCGAAACTCTTCTAACTTCAAAAACCATTCCAAATGACCAAACGTTTGCACCAGCGGAATTATGTCAAGATTTAGGCTCCTGAAATTGAAATTTCAAAAGAAAAGAATTTTCCTAATTTCGAGGACCAACTTTGCTCTAGATAGTATAGCGCGTACGTCATCAAGTGAGTATGCATCAGCACCTCTTGCCACTGCTAGTCGACCCTTCCATGGAAACATTTCTTCCCATTCTAGCAGAATCCCTAAAAATTTATTCAAAATGTAACGGATGATATTTTCAACGTATCAGTATCATAAGGAAATTCAGGTGTTGACTTGTTTTGGATTGATTTATAATAGTCTGGAACAAGTAGTCACCGTATGTTACTCAATATATCGCTTGCATTTTATACCTTTCTAATCTTTGATCGTGTAAATTGAGTAAAACTTTGCACATGTGGTCTGAACCAAGTATAGTGTACGCTAATCAATATATCGACTGCATTTTCACTTTTTTGTTGAGTATAACTTGATAAGTCACATAGTCTGGATGAGGTAGTTACCGTGCTAATCAATATATCTATTGCATTTTATTCTTTTGATTTTTGTCTAGGTAAAATGCGGTATAACTTCTGAGTAATTTGATCTGAATTAAGTGGTTACTTATGCTAATCGATAAATCGATTGCTGCACACTGGAATTTTTGATTTATCGAAAAGATTGATCAAGATGCAGCTAATGGTACTTTTATGTGCGACAAAGGTGTTTCATAAGTAGAAACGTAGTTTTGCCCTCACCCCCTCCTCCTCGTCCAAAAATTAATTTTCAGAGTTGTAATGATTCCACACTATCTTACCCGTGGCTCCAGCTCGTGCAACAAGATCGAGCAGTTCCATAAAATATGGAACCCGAGGAGGAGCTCCCTTCAGATCGAAATGAACTATGATATTTTCGTAGAACTCGTTCTGAAAAATTGATTTATATATACAGCTGGAGTATTTGGATCCTAGTAGCTTAGATCTTGAAAAATTCCACTACAACTGAAATAGAGAAGTACTTGAAAAAACAACGGAATTTTTTTATGATAGGAAATGTTTTATGAAAGAAAAGTTTGCTTTACAGTTTCTTTCCCTACTGCATACGTAATATGGTAAGATCTACTCTTTGCGCTAGTTTATATGGAGGACTAAATCTGAAAAACAAACCTTTCTACTCTTTCGTGGTGGTCTCATAAAATTCTTCTGCGGATCTTTCACTTCTCCCTGTAATTTTGATGTAAAAAATGCTAGAAAAAATCCTCCGAAGTGCTGCAAACCTGGTGTAAATAGTTGTTCATTGAGTTATTCGGCTTTTGTACTACTTGAGCATGGTTACCGGACCCAGTCTTATAGAGATTTGGTTCCTTATTGTGCATATACTTATTAGCTTCTCCATCTTGAGCTGAAGCATGTACATCGGCAGCTAACTGAAAATAAAACTTGAACGGAAACAGATTTGAATGTAGATCAAAAATTTTTTTGAAAGTCTACATTAACATCTGAGAAATGGCGACACATACCCCGCTGAACTGAAACCAGGTAACAACCACGTAGCACATCCCAAAAGAAAAAAGAACACCTTTCTTGTTGTCAGTTACTCCCTTGCCCCATTGTCTTTTGTGACTTTCAAAATCCCGCAGTAATAAAGTGTTTAAATTGCAAAAGGAAATGAATGATCTACTGCTCTTCGTTGCTCTAAAGGCAGATCCTGTGCCGACTTGTCGGCACCTTCCTTACAACCATATCATTACTCTTGCCTGAGCACCGTAAAGGTCATGCCATAAGCATGACCTGCTGTGATGTTAGTATCTTATCGCCCAGACGTATGTAGCTTTACTTCGCCACGCCTGTATTCACGAGCATTCTACTACTGCACCCATGCAGGTCGTCTGACTCAATAAAGCTCTAAAGCTAGTGTTCTAATAACACAACGGGGCTACCTCACTCCATAGGCGCTATTCCGCCCAAGGCTACAATAAAAGCCACGGAACAGCCACAGATCCCCTAATAAAATCGTGAATTTGCACGAGATTTCTGATACTAGATAAGAGGTCTTGCATTGAATTGAATTCCCTCAAGCAAAAGTTGAATCAAAATCCCCAACCCCCATGCAAAAGGCTCTATATGTGACGGAAGCTTTCGATGCAGTTTTCAGCAATGATATACCATAGTCATAGATTAACGCATTTCATCAAATATCTGTGCTCAGGAATCCCATCGCAAGTGTGGCGGCACGGTGGGCCCGCAGCACCTTAGTGTAATTGAAATGCCTTGTGCGCTTGCCCGCGTATTACAAGCGACGCATCAACGTACTCTCAAATTAGCGCGTAGAGAAACAGAAAGCAAATCACTGATAGTTTATCCTTGTAACGCAAAAAAACAAATAAGCTCTACGCTCAACTAACTAAAAGCTAGTCAAAATAGAACCCCAACACGAGACTTGCCCCGTCCTGTGCTACCATTTGTGCGCGTCTATATAACTTCTAAACATGACGATGCTCCCGAGGCTTCACCTTTACAGATCCTCTACGCGTCGCCGGATGACAGGCGCGACAGCCTCTCCGCTGCCAAATTCGTAAGATCTCAATATCCTAAATCTCAAAAGTAGCTCGTTCTGAGTCCCAAATCAGAGGCTAAATTCCGATTCAGTATGAATTTCGAGATCCTCGACGCTACTGCGAAAATGGAATCAAAAGCGGGAGCTGAACTGCTAGGCACGAGCACATTAGAAACAAAGAAAACATCGATCGAAAATGAAGCGAACAGACGTTGCAATGAGGTGGCGTTGCTATATATAGCCTTTTAGCTGGCAACGCGCCAAGGCGAAGAAAAATCCGGAGGCGATGGCAAGCGTGAGAAAGTATTGTAGCTAGCAAAAGTGTCCATACTCTCAAGATAAACATGATTCTGGCAACAATCTAATGAAGGTGACCAGCTGGGGCCCACAGTTATGAAGAGCGATCACTGATTTGTTTTATGCAAAAAATCTCTTGACGGCAATCTTTTGATATGCTGCCTTGGAACACTGAAGGACAAAAGATATCAATGATCAAACAGTGCATACAGTGCAGTCATTTGTGACTTGATATGCTTGTTGCACAAAACGCCTGATACTTCACGACGTTTTCGGGAGCTCTTATTTTCTGAAGATTTTCCCTTGTTTTCTCCTAATTTTAGTTTGATTAAACAAATATCAGGTACTCAGACAATTCATCGGAACTTCCGTAGGACAAGTCACCTTTCTGCAGGACTTTGTTTACTACAACAAAAGCGGAAACATTAAAAACGAACTTCCGCAGGGCTTCTTACAAAACGCTAGGAAAGTTCCGAAAATGTCAGCGTTTCCGCAGCACTTTGGCCTGCCAGTACTTCCGCCGGGTTTCAGATATGCTATCTCTTAAGAAGTTGTCTAGCCGACAACTAGAGCGCATTGTCAACCATGTCATCCTTAGTGCAGAGGATAGTGAGTGAGTCTCGGAGGCGATAAAGGGATGTTCAAATCGCGCTTAGCTGTTCTCTTTTGCTGTTATATATTGCATTCTTCGGACTTCCGCAGCACCTCACTTGGGAGATTCGCAGCACGTTTACGCAACTTCCACAGGTAACCCGCAGAATTCCCAAATATTCTGCGGAAGTTCCGGTCAGTAGTCTGAGTGATAAAACATATTTTAACCATGTATCCCGCTATGTTTGACAAATTACTGGCAGGAAATCGTGGATTTCCGCTCGTAGTGTGCAAGCTCGCATACTAATAAGTTACAAGACTTGTCCACTCAGAATCAAATGGGTTTTTTGCGCAATTGCACGTATTCCAGGATGGGCCAATGGAAACCAGGTGATGTTTTTAATCCCTTTCTCGGTTTCCTTTGCTGTTTAGGCGCGATTATGTTCGAAGAAGCGCGGCTGATATTCGCAAGTTCTTTAGTCGAAACTTTCGTCGCATTGCCTAGATGAAAAACATGCAAATTAACTGCTTAGCAAAAGAACTTACTCGACCTTGAAAATACTGTACGTACCGTAGATCCCAACCCTTAGCAGGAAAAAAAAACAGACAGGCAGACAGACATATAATTGGTGAACTTAGAGCCCCTATTTGATTTATGAACTAAATTAAACTGAGGATGAACGAATTTTCCATCTTCGTTAGCTTCAGAAAACTACATTTTTGATTATCGCGGAAACCCGTAAAACTTTTTACATTGTTCTAGCAGAGCTTTCAAGGTCTTGTCATATAACAAGAAATAGGTCAGCTATCTTTAAATTGCCAAAGATAGTACACCATTCAATATAGCTACCACCAATAAACGACTCATAAAATCTTAAGTAAGAGCTAAACTTATCCTTTAATTCAACTGGCTTGGCGGTTGGAAGGTGGGGCTCCGTGACCTGATTAAGGCTGGATAGTTCAGAGAGCACGCGCGCTAGAGAGACGCAGACTGCGTGGTGGGCGCTAGCGGCCTTAATAGGTCACGAAACTCCGCCTTTTAGCCGCCAAGCCAGTTGAAGCAAAGATGACATATATAGTCAATGGACTTTGTAAAAGTTCTTTCAGATACTGGGAAAGTAACCCACCTGAAATTCAATAAAAAATAATGATACATTAATCTGAAAGCAAAAATTATTTCAGTAGAAAATATTGAAAATTCTTTAGACGGGTTTGTGCGGAATGCGACAATCTAAAACTTCGCGCTCAAAATGGAATCTCCGCCTCCACAATACACAATAGTGGGCGGGGCTTCCATTCGCTCGTAAACTGCAAGTGTTGTCGCATTCCGCGCCCTCCCTCTAGACTATTTAGTTCACCAAATTCGAAATTAATTTTTTCACCAAATAGTTTTACTTTTTTCATTTTTGAAGTACTATTATGGTGAAACAAAGAAATAAGCAGCACAATATTGAAATCAAATACTAAAAAGGATAAAGTAAAAGTAAAAAGTAAAAAGTAATAGTATTAATAAATGTGACTCACCTTTCGTTCCCGTATTGAAAGGCTAGGAAATGAGTTGGCAATTTGTAAAGTAATAAATACAATAGTGCATCCCATAAATACCCTGCATACCATACCAAAACCTCTGCGTCTCAGATACCGTGACCAAATCATTGTACCATGTGGTTGGAGAGATCTAAAACGACATTGATAAGAAAAAATGACGAGGGGGGATCTGAATAGCGTATGAAAAGCGAGTAACCCATTTATGAAGTTGAGTAAAGAAATAAAAATGAATGATGATGCCAAGGGAAAAGAATAGGGAAAAATGATAAAGGACTTCCCATTAAGCGAAACGTGCGCATTAGTCAACGTATGCTCTGACTAATGATTGCTATCAATTCTGCTTGTACATCTGCTCATTCATTATAATAAAGTAGTCACATCAATATTCTTTGAGAAAAAAAAACGGAGGATTGCGAATGTGATATTACGCTAATCGCTCCGAATGTTTTCCCTATTTCAAACTAGCGCAAACCTCAAAAATCAATCAATAATCGATCCAAATTGCTTTCACATAGTTTTCCTCTCTTTTCTCCTACCAATTATATTCTGGAATACCTGGCAAGTTTTTCTTTAGACTGCGTCCAGAGTTCGGTGCCAGCGCCATCCAGCAACGTTCCAGTGCAACACCAGCGCCGTTCCAGCGCCGTGCCACCGCCGTGTGGAAACGCCAACCGACCAATACAATTAGCTTGCATGCAGGTTCCTGCAGGACGCTGACACGGCGCTGGCACGCTCCGCTACAAGGGCAACTGCGATCTTCAAGGTTTTAGCTTGACCTGCATAGCTTGTAAATTCTTCATTTCGAAACCTCATATTTCGAAATTATCTATCAATCAACCACAGAAATGTTATTCTCAAAAAACTGCGGAAAACAACCTGATAACATGAATAGTTCAATGAGAACGAAAAAAATTAATTGAATCAAATGTGGCACGGCTATGATGATGTTCTGTGAGTTTGGTGTTTGGCGCTGAAGAAACGAAAACTTTCGGACTAAAACAATGGCAACCAGCCGCTTAGCGCAGGAAAAACGAAAGGAAAAAAAACGCGGACGAATGTTTTCGCAAAGGATTATTTAAACAGTGTCAATGTGATATTGCGTTAGGCCATAAAAAAGAAAAACATATCTGTAATGATTTTTTCCGAGGAGCCAAACAAGAATGATGGGGTTGAGGCTAGGATTAGTGGAAGGTTTGCTTGAAGTAATATTAATTTTTTGGCTCCCAATTATGAAATATTGCTCACTTGTCAATGATTATTGATTAATTTATAATGTGTTAAGTTTTAAATTACCTCTATAAATTTTTTTTCTCCGTTGCGTCAGCCAACGCATTTCTTCTTTGAACTTTACATCTCTTGGCAAAAATTCTCAAAGATCGAGATGCCCCTCCCCCTTCCCAAAAAATGATTTCAAAGAGAGATAAATATACAGGGTGTCCCAAAAAAATGTATCGAAGGTTTGATCTTCAATAACTTCCTTATATGAAAAGCTTTCGCGGATCTTTGAGTGTCATACGGTAGAGCTGGATCAACTTAGATTTACAGTATGGCGCGAATCATCTACCGCTTTTCGTCACTGTAGGATTACGGTACGAACTTCCAGCATATGAAACCAATGTGAAATACACCACCTAACAAAATTTTCTTCAAAAAATCTAAAAAATTGTGTACTAGGGTTTTCGCGCATACTGATTCCACCTAACAACTTTTTACAACTGTTTTCGTCCTTTTTGATGGTGTAATTGTATTTCTGACAAATGCTGGGAATTGAATTACTACGATTTACCGCGGATAACTTAGGAAAGAAGCATCACAGTAGAATGGGAATTTCAAATTTGGAATCAGCGGCTCCCATTACCGTAGTATAAGAGTTTTTGCTTGTTTGGTCTTGCCCGAGGCAGCATATATCCTCCAATATCCTAAAATCTTTGTCGAAGTTCGTACCGTAATCCTACAGTAATGAAGGACGATGAATGATTCGCTCTATACTGCAATTCTAAGCTGAACCCAGCTCTACCGCATGACACTCAAAGATCTGCGAAAACTTTCCATATAGGGAAGTTATTGAAGATCGAACGTTCGATACATTTTTTTGGGACACCCTGTATGCCTTGAAATGACTAGAGTAATAATTGAAAAAGGAACATTTTTAGGAAAGTAAGAGTGAATACAAGTACCAGAAAGTTCAAAAAATTTATTATTTTACTATTTTATTTTTTATTGTTTATCTTTTATTAATTTATACTTTCTTGCTGTTTCACGTATTTATTATTGATTTATTAATTTATTATCTATTGATTCACTTTTCTATTTTATTATTTCTTTATTTTTTTCTCGCTATTTCACGTATTATAAGAAACTGCTAGGTGCTCCCGTAATTTGATATTTTTGATGAATACTTTGAAATTCTTCCCAGGAGATACATATGTTAAGCTGTGCTCGAAAATTGCATCGAGCATGGAAACTCGGATCTAAAAACTTCCCAAGAGAGCTAGAGGATCAAAAAGAAGCTTCTTCAAAGTTAAAAATAGAAGGATTGGTGTCTTCTGTAAAATAACTTTAAAGATAATCGCCTGTCAAGAATAAGGAACACTTTGGCGCCAAAATGTCGGTGAAAGGTCTGTCAAGTATGTATTCAACCATGCATTTCGTTACATAATAAGAATAACCAAAACTCAACAAAATTTTTCACCTGTATAAATCATAGAAGACAATGTTCATTTTTTTGCGATTGTGGAACGAAACAATGTAGAAATGTTGCTTTTAAACCATAATTTTGCAAGAATAATCTTCTAAAAGAACATTTGTTGTGCTCTCTTATACTGGTTTCTCTATACAGATATTTATGCATAATGACAGCAAATCTCCAAAAAACCCCTAGATAATCCCCCGTATTTATATGCAATAGGGGTTTCTTGGCATTACGCATATATTCAACAAAACGCGGATAATCTCCCGCACGTGAGCATCCAGAATATCGGAGGGGGGGGGGGAGTTATGGCGGAGTGGCTACAAAATGGGGGGAAAAGGAAAAAAAATATTTTTATGGACAAATTTGAGTAGAAAAGACACGATTTTGGAAAGGATTGAATAGCGATGAGAAGATGGAAATGTCCGTCGGGGCTTACCCCGTTTTTCTCAAACTAAGCAGATTATTTTCGCCGTTATCACGCCGTTATCAATGAATTTTGCTTTTCGTTTTGACTTTTATGATGAGGCAAAAATTAAATAATTATTTTTGTGAACAGAATCTTGAAAAAGGAAAAGACGAAGATTTAAATGTAGTAGCACAAAGTCTGTTCACATCTCACTTAAAGATTTATTTCTTTCCGTCAAAAGAAACTTCAATTTTGTTGAAGTATCCTCTAAATATTTTCTTGTTGTGTTTAAATTGAAATAAACCAGAAAAAAATAGTAAATTTAGGAAAAAATATTTCAGTAAGCAAATTGAATGGCGAAAGTCAGTTTTGACAGTTTTCCTAGAGGGGAAAAATTTTCTATTATGAAATTTGGATACCATAAAGCCCAAAATGATTGTGGATAATTCTTTTCTATTTGATTTTATCCAGCTAAATAAGCACAAGCTAACGAAGACAAAGAATGCTTTCCGAGCGAGGCATGGTCGGACCATAATTATCTATTTATTCATTTCATACATTCTATAACAGCTAGCTTGATGGAAATTTTAAGGGAAAAAATTGAAGGTGCCAACTGGAAAAATGTAACATTGATCATTTTTTACGGTATAAAATCTGTTTATTTTTACATAAGATGAAAAAAGGATGCTTTTCATGTATTGCAATTGCATTCATAGGAAGATTGCTAAAAAATTTCGAAAAAAATAAACCTCAACAGAACTAACATTTTTCAGCACCGAATATTTTTCGCCATACTTCTACCCACTTACATAAAAAGAAAGTTGGCTCTCATAGATCGCCCTTACATCAAATTCCTGGTCTTCCATTATACAAATCCAAAAAGATAGAAAAACGAAACAAGGAGATCAATAGAAAAATTTCAATACCCTCCCCCCCCCACAACCCTTGAACGTAGTGCAATTACTTAGCTCCTTGTAAGAACTATGCCTTAAATAGTCCTTATGTACCCTAGGAAGAAATGGAATTTGTGGAAGTTTTTGAGTCTCAATTAGGAAAGAGAAAAATTGTAACAGAACTCATACTCAGAATTAATAGATCCACTATAGAAAAATATGTAAAAATCATAGCCATGGAAAACTCAAACTCCAGTTTATTCGGAAAAGAAGTAAGAAGCATGAGAGATAATGCATACGATTTCTCCTTGTAATCTAATCGTAACAGCGAACAAAATGAATAAATGGGTGTATCAAAAATAATTTTCAAAGTTCAACGCTGAAAGATAACTAATAACATTGTGAGATAGAACGAATGAATCAGTAATGGTCGAACCATAGGTATAAAAAAACATGGAAATATATGTTAGCGCCGAAATTCATTTCAGCGCTCACTGAATTAACAAAGAACTTTTTTCACAGCAATGATTCTGATGTTGACCTCATTTCCTCAGCGAAGTAAACAATGTGAAATTTCATGGTAAAATAGCTTTATTATGGAGCAGAAATGGAATCGAAAAAATGCAAAAATTTAGTTTTATGCTTCAAAAAAACTTCAGGTTTTTAGTTTTATGCTTCAAAAAAACTTCAGGTTAATCGAGGTTCTTAAGAAAATCTTATGTCAAGGTAGCTTTGGGAAACAAATCTAGGATTGTTAAGGAAAATTCTGAGAAGCACAGCAAAATTGCTTAGGGAAAAGTATTTCTTCATAAAAACTTGTTTCACCCTCTTCCTCCCCTCCGCCTCAACTAGGAGGTCTGGGCCACCACTATCATAATTTATATCAAACATTTTGGAAAAATATTAAATATTATACATAGCTATATATGAGTGCCAAGAGCAAAATGTTGGCTACGAAAGGCATTTCGCAGAAAAAGGAAATACTTGATGGAAATTGCAATACGTTATAGTTCAAGCGCTCCTGGAAAGAGACATTTGAAGTTATGAATAATATAGCTGGAAACACAAATAGCAAGCCCACATAATGCATTTTTGATGTAGTCTAGCCTTGCAAATGCAAAATTTAGCAGTTAAGCAAATATAGTTGGAATGAGTGGGAAATAGGGGCAGTAAAAGCGGAGGAGGTGAGGGGGAGAAGGCCCTCACTTACTGAAGAATGAGTTATTTGAGTTTTGTGGAAGTGACTTACATGAGTTATAAAAAGGCGCAAGTGACCTGTTCATAACCGTAATAATTAGGATGATTTTTGATCCTTTGAAAGCTCAAATTAACCTTGTAAAATGTTTTCTTCTGGGCGTTTTCTATGGACCCGCAAAAGTTTTGGGAAACATTCCAAAAAAATTCTCTTTTCCTGTGCCCTGACCTCTCATTCCAGTTGGAAGTCGAATCAATGTCTACAAGTGATAATACTAATTATGCAGACTTGAAATGAGCGAATAATTTTGCGTAAAAAATTTTCTCCTGCTTTTTACATTTTTTCGAATTTGTAAGTATTAGTGATGCAAAAATAATGGCCACTGCCTACGCTACCAAAGCATATGAATGCAGAAATATACAAATGAGGTACCATTCGATAAAATGAAGCAAGTTCTACGAAATGGCTACTAAGAATCTACGTACACATTAGGTCACATAGTAGACCATGTTAACGTTCATTCATGCACTCGCTGTAATTTTTTGTCACTTAGAATTTGAATAAAAACGAAAATGGTAAATCTGCAAACTCC